TCATATAATTAAAGGGGGAGCCACCTGTTAAAGATTGAAAACCACTGATGAAAGGGAACGTACTGGAGAATGTGTGGATGGAAGAATCTGTGTAGAGTACATGTGATCACTGACAATCTTTGAGGCTGGTGAGATGTGTTTTTTTTTTTTTTAACTTGAGAACCCCTCTACAAACAGAGTGACTGAGACACAAGCTAACATGATGTGACTACCAGGGCTTCTGTTCTTCTGCCGGTGCACAATGGTACACTGTACCATCACCATTTTCTTAAGCCTTGAATTGTTTTTTAGCCCTTCTTCTTCTTCTTTGTGTTAACCGGCTGTGAATTCCAGCAGAAGGTGCTGATTGTTTATCCGTTTTGACTTTGGCCTTGTACCAGGACCTGAGTTTTGCGAGTGCATCTCTTTTACTGGCTCATTTGTGTAATGTTCTTGTTCCCTGACTTTGAAAGAAGACGTCAATCCTATCTCTAGGATGACTGTGGCCATTTCAATCCTACTGTAATGGACATTTTGTTGTCAATACACACACCTTTTGAACTTTTTCGGTCCAATCAGGTTTTGTGGAAAAACAATTTCTTCCCCACGACATAATGCCACAAAAACTCTAACCACTTGTTGTCTTGTAGGAATGAAAAATAAATAAAATATACCCCTGTGGTTGCCAGATTTATTTAGTATACACTGACCAAAACTTAAATACAAGAAGACGCTTGATGTGCTGTTTGAGTCAAAAACATATCATATGTTGTCTGAGACTGAAAGAGTTAAGACACTCTGAGGTGAGTTCTGGCACCTTTTCAATCCAGAAAAATAAAAGCCCTGGTGACTACTCAAATCTAAGCTGAAAACTAGATATAAAAAAGAACGAAAAAACATGCCAGCCTGCAGGTGAGAAAACAAGCAGGCTTCTGTGTTATGGTGAATATATTTTATACATGGAACGAAGACTACGATGAATACAATTCAATATGAACAAGATGAGCATGAACATTGTTTAACATTATGAAAGATACAAGTTAAACAGTGCATATATTATTATGAACAAATGTTTATTTCATGCATGCATATATAAGCCTTCTCTGAAAAGTGCTGCAAATTAATTCTAGATGTTTGTAGTAGTTGTAGTAGCAGTAATTTTTATAACAAATATTCTGTTCAACCCTCTTCTCAAAGTATATATTTGTTATTTTATGTATCCTGTAAATTATATATTCTGGACAAGTAAGTAGTTTATATTATTGTATCAATATTGCTTTGGTTATACCTGTCTAGGCTGTGATTAAGACATAAATTATACTATGAATATTTAGATAATCTCACTAACACAGTCTGACTAAAATAGTGGATTTATTACATACGTACACTGGCACCTTTCCGTCTTTCCAGACGATAGTGTTATATTGCGCTATGAGGAGGCATGAGACAGAGGCCCACAGAGGCCTAGCAGATGGTCCGCCGATCATTGTCAGTGCCGTGTTGCCTATTTAATCTTGCATTTGTTCTTCTCTTCCTGTTTATTTGGCAGCTTTAGTAAACTGTTTGATGGGAACAAATGCTCTGCTGTGTTTGTTGTTGTTTTTCTTTATCTTCTTCTTCTTGTTCTCTAGCTGTAAACTCCAGTGGAAAGTTTTGGTTGTTCGTCCACTTCTGGCCTTAGGTCTTCTTCCATAACTTTCAGTGTCCTGCTTATTGCATGCAGACTGTGGGCTCTTTGCCTCTCAGGCAGATGCACTCCAACTTCAAAGGAATTATACAGCATATATAAGTATGACAGGGAAGTCCCTGTGGTGGAGCTGCTAGATGCTCACCGCAGATTTGTAGGTCATGGGTTCGCTCCCTGGTGGAGCCAAACATTTAAAAAAATGACCGTGACTTCCAGGTCGACCCAGCCTTGAGTGGGTACCGGGTGCCGTCCGGGGAAGTAGATGCTGACCACATCACCCATCTTGTGCCGATTGGTCTAAAAAAATATAGGTCTAGCCCTATATGCCTAAAGACATGGAAAAAGAGTCCTTTACTTACTTTTTTACAAGTATGACGTGAAATAGCTGGTAATGTGGTAGTCATTATCATACTTGTTGTGAGCAATGCAATTTTATTCTCCTTTTTTTTGGGGGGTATAAATAATATTTTATTTAATAATTTTTAGAGCACTTTTATTTGGGTTTTTGTGTGTGTCTCAGACAAATGCACTCCATCTTCAAAGGAATTATACAGCACATATAAGTATGAATGAAAAAGCTGGTAATGTGGTAGTCATTATCATACTTGTTGTGAGCAATGCAATTTTTTTCTTCTTTTTTGGGTAGAAATAATATTTTATTTAATAATGTTTTAGAGCACTTTTTTTTTTTTTTTTATGTGTGTGAGGTAAAAAAAAAATACTTTAATTAATAATTTTTCAGATAACTTTTATTTGGTTTCTGTTTGGTAGAAATAATAGTTGATTTAATAATACACTGGGAGATTAGGACTGCACGCCTGCTCCCATCAAGGCTACTGGCCTCCTGATTTACATTTTTTCTGACTGAAGGATCAAAGATGAAGATATCATAATTTCATAGAGCAGGTGTAACAGGCAGACAGACTGGCTGGATCTGCAGCCCTGGGTGGTGAATTGATACATGACAAGGCAGATGTGGTCAAGACCCTTTGGGAACAAGCAACAGAATCAGTTGAGATATAAGATTTTTATGGCCTGGAGAGAATGACGCACCTGGGTTGCAACCAGAGGGTCTGGCCAGCTCAGTACACTCAGAGGAAAGGCAAGACGGACATACAACCAAATTGTGACTGGTACCATCAGTATTGTAATTCTGAACTGGCTGCTAAAGATGAAGACAGAGCATGCATGGGAACGCTCCGAGTGCTGTGATGTCAATTCTTGTCTCAACTCAACTCAACTCATAGAGCAGGTTTCCCGTGTGGGTTCCTGTATCCTATTTCAGGAGTGAACAGAGCCGACTAATTACGTCCTAAAATGTTACAGTTAAAAGATGACAAGTTAGGGCAGACAAGTGGTCGGCAAATCGCAGCTCTTTAGTGACCTGAGTGCGGCTTGGCCAGTCGGCCACAAATTGATTTTGACTCCAAAAAACATGGCTCTTGACAGGTTCTTGAAAAACAATTTGGCTCTCAAAATTTTTTTTATCGTCCTGCTATGATTTTTGGGTCGTCTGACTAATGAGTTTGCAGACCACTAGCAAGACTGAGAGGTCAAATGTTTAACTAAGAATCGATATCAGAGCACTCAGAAACTTTCCATAAACACTCAGTTCTCCATCTTCAGCAGCAGAGACGCAATTCCGATAGTCCAAGTAACAGTCTGATTGTATATCTATCTGGCGTTTCTCTTGAGTGCTGATCCTCGACCAAATCCCCTGGGCACTTCTTGCAGCACTATTCTCTTTGGACCTTGATCATCCATCTGTACTTCTGCACTGTTCACTCACCCCCCAAGGGATCCTTACAACATCTAACAGTCCTGTATCAGTTGACCACCAAGTTGTACAGAACTAGCCAGTCTGTCTGCCTGTTCATTTCCTAATACACCGGCATATCAAAGAGGCTTAAAGAAATGTTCCAGTCGGTGCTCAATATGGCAGCTGCTTGGGCAAGTGGCCCACACCTCTCAGCCTGTGCCAGATCCATTACTACAGCAGTGCAGATTATTTACTGCAGAATACTGGAATAAACGTTACCAATCCTAAATATGAAAAATTATGCTAAGGTGGGACTGAGAAAGATCTAATTTATATGAGTGTTTGTTGAGTCTGCAATGTTCAGTGCACAAGCAAAACATTCTGACTTAGTCTGTTCTGTTCTGATGACCGAGGAAATCTTTTTTTTTTTTTTTTTCATGGTTATAACTGTCTTTCAATCAGCTTTTCCTTTTCTCTACATTATATTTTTCTAAAAATAATATTTAATGTATGTAATTGAATTTATTTGTATAATAAATTTAATCTGTGTAATTTAATTAGTGACAGTACGTGTAAAGTGGATTTACTCAAACATTCAAGTCAAAATGAATGAAATTAAACTCAAGTCAGCTGAAACAAAAAATGTGGATAAATTGGTTCTTTCATTACATTTTCAGTACAATTCATTAATTTGATGAAGTTTCATTATTTGATATTTCATTAACTAATGCCCATGAATTATCTTAGGTGTGTATAATTAGACAAATGTAATTGAACTGACACATGCTGGTGAGCTATGTAATTGGATTAATTTTGTAACTGAATTATTGGATGTATGTAACTCAACTCATGACACAGATGCAGCTCTAACTGTGTCAGTTGAGTTAACCAAAGTGATTACATGAGCTAGTGTAATTTTCACAAACTGGTGTAATTAAACAATCTAATTCTAATCAACAGCTGTAACAGAATTAGAAATTCTACAGAAATAACTACATGAGTTGGTGTAATTTTAACAGGCTGGTGTCAGCGAACAGGTGTAGTTGAAATTACTTAACAAATTACATGAGTCTATGTAATAAAAACGAGCTTGTGGAATTGAATTAGTCAGATGTAAGTAAAATGAGCTGGTTCTCACGGAATAAGCCAAATTAATTAGATGATTCAGTGTAATATTAATGACCTGGTGTAACTAAATTACCTAAAATAATTAATGAGTTCATGAAATGTTAATGATTTGGTGTAACTGAATTATTGTATGTCAGTGTGAAGAATAAACATAACATTAATGATGAAAAAGTAACGACAAACAACAAAAAGGTACTGGTAATGTACAAACAGTGGTAATAGACTTTTTTGATGACATTCTAACTAACGTGTCAGTGAGACTGAACATTTTGCATTCATTCTGGAGGGTAGTTTTTGTCAAATATACAAAATTAAACAAAATAAATGGGTAAACAAAAATGACAGTTTGAGAACAATCCTGAAGTACTGCTGTCGTTACAAAATCTCTCTCTATTCTTAAACTCTCTTCAAAGGAAGATAAAATCTCTCTCTATTCTTAAACTCTCTTCAAAGGAAGATAAAATTTCTCTTGTCCTCATCCTCAACGTTGTAATCGCAGACTTCAGGCTGGTGGCCCTCGATCATCTCCCAGGTCCCGTGGCAGTGGGGGACATCCACGGCCTTCCATGCTGTCTCCGTCTTGTAGACCCCGTGTCCCAGGCACCGCATGCCGATTTCTCGGTTCATAGCCACTGGTTGGCATTCCACGCAGATGGTTGTGTTGACTGTTAGGATGTTGGCCCATTCGGATTTGTCACAGCCATGGTGAGTGGAGAGGATCTTGTACTTGCCTCGGTATCTGTGTGACAGAAGCAATAGATATTCTTGAGTTGAGGCTGCAGAATTGGAGCTGGCAATACTACAGAAATGGAGTTGGGACTGGACAACTGATGCATAAAATACTACAGAGCTTGAGTAGAGACTGGACTCTTTATCTTGTTCGCCTTAACTGTCCACCCATCCATCCACCCATCCATCCACCCACCCACCTATCCATCCATCCAACAACCCGTGCATCCATCCATCCCTCCATCTACTGACCCATCCATCCATCCATCTGTCCGCTCACTCAGTACCCATCCACTCACTGATCCATCCACTCACCGATCCATCCACTCACTGATCCATCCATCCACACACTAACCCATCCATCCATCTATCATCAGTTTGTCCGTTCTACTTTATCTGTCTATGTTTTTTTTTTCCCTTCTAAATATCAAGTATTCCCCCCCCCCCCCCCCCCACTTCCCCCACCCCCAAGTAAACTCCAGCGGAAAGTTCTGGTTGCTCGTCCATTTCTAGACTTTTGTCTTGTTCCAGAACATGAGTATTGTGTGCACACCTGTTTTACAAATCTGGCTTATTTGTTTGCAGACTGCTAGTTATTCGCCTCTCAGGTAGTTGCACTCTGACTTCGCCAAAGGAAGGGACTAGACAATTAGTGCAAAAAAAAAACTAGAGAACTTGAGTTCAAACTGGATGATTAGTGCAGATAAAATCTAGCTTGGGACTGGACAACTAGAGCAGAAAATGCAACAGAACTTGCAGGAAATATTAGAGAACTAGAGTTGGGACGGGACAGTGCAGGAAACAGAGAGCTATAGTTTGGACTGGAAAGTGCAAGATACAGGGAACTAGAGTTGGGACTGGACAGTGCAGGAAACAGAGAACTAGAGTTTAGACTGGACAGTGCAGGAAACTTTAGAGAACTAGAGTTAGGACAGGACAATGCAGGAAATGTTTGAGAACTAGAGTTAGGAATGGACAGTGCAGAAAGTATCAGGGAACTAGACTTGGGACTGGAAAGTGCAATAAATATTAGAGAACTAGAGATTGGACTGGAGAGTGCAGGAAATATTGGAGAACTATAATTTGGACTGGACAGTGCAGGAAATATTAGAAAACTAGAGTTGGGACTGGACAGTGCAGCAAATATTAGAGAACTAGAGATTGGACTGGGCAGTGCAGGAAATATTGGAGAACTAGAGTTGGGACTGGACAGTGCAGGAAATATTGGAGAACTATAGTTTGGACTGGACAGTGCAGGAAATATTAGAAAACTAGAGATTGGACTGGACAGTGCAGCAAATATTAGAGAACTAGAGTTGGGACTGGACAGTGCAGGAAATACTAAAGAACTTAAGTAGAAACTGGACAACCAATTGTGTCGACAGAGAAGATGTCAATATATTAGGCACATCAGTAGGAGAAACCGTCAGAGAATCATAAACATCAAGTGATTTGTTGAGTGGCGTAGGCAATCATGCCTCTCTACAATCTGTGGTCCGTAACTGCCTGTATCAGTAGTGTGTTGACACCCCGCCATGCCATGCAAACGACTGTCAAGAATCTTCTCAAGCAGTCTTGCTCTGTCTCTCTTTTCTACAAATCTTTCCAGTGGTCAAAACATGTTCCAGTTTACCTCTTCTCATAACATGACCAAAAAAATGATGATTGTCTCTTTCTGATGTTTGTGATATGTTATCTTTACGCACCGGCCTCTATCAAAACATGTGGGTTGCTCTTCTTAGCTGTTTAAGATATTGTTCGGCTTCTTTATTCATTGTCCAGGGTTCACAGCTGTATGTTAGAACTGGCTCTATATAGCATGCGAGAATTCTTCTCCTAACCTCCAGTGACATAGATTTACTGCACAAATGTTCTTAATTTTATAAAAGGCAGTTTTGGCCTGTCCTATTCTAGTCTTTATCTCTGTGATACATTTTCCATCAGATATTATCCATGATACATTTTCCATCGGATGTTATCCATGTGCCTAGATACTTAAATTTCTCTACTTGATCTAAAATAATGCCTTTGGCTGTTATTATACATTGAGGCACTATTTTTTTTCTTGGAAATCACTTTTACTAATTATCAGATAGACACTGAAAATGTAAAACAGATGGATTGAATGAATGAGGACATTAAAGATAAACCAGAGATGAACGTTGCTGTGACCGGCTAAAGACGAGGGACACCTGAGATAAACGTTGCTGTGACAGGATGAAGACGAGGGACACCTGAGATAAACGTTTCTATGACAGGATGAAGACGAGGGACACCTGAGATAAACGTTGCTGTGACAGGCTGAAGACGAGGGACACCTGAGATAAACGTTGCTGTGACAGGCTGAAGACGAGGGACACCTGAGATAAACGTTGCTGTGACAGGCTAAGGAAAAGGGAAACCTGAGATAAACATTGCTGTGACAGTCTAAGGAAATGGGAAACCTGAGATAAACTTTGCTGTGACAGGCTAAAGACGAGGGACACGTGAGATAAATGTTGCTGTGACAGGCTAAAGAAGAAGGACTGAATTCCATGCATGATATCAAAAGGACTTTACAGGATAGGATAGAGTGGGGAATTTGGACTGCATCATCCAACAGGATGATGTTGATGAGCTGGGGCTGAACAACTTCAGAAAACACAACAAAGTCTACATAATGTTTCTGCTCATCAATCTGCCCACTCAGTTTTCTACCTATTCCTCCACCACCCACTCAGTTTTCTACCAATTTCTCCACCACCCACTCAGTTTTCTACAAATTCCTCCACCACTCACTCAGTTTCCTACCAATTCCTCCACCACTCACTCAGTTTTCTACCAATTCCTCTACCACCCACTCAGTTTTCTACCAATTCCTCCACCACCCGCTTAGTTTCCTCCTACCCAACTATCCACCCACCAAGTCACACACCCATCCACCCACCCAGTCACAAACCCAGTCACACACCTAAGCATCCCTCTTCCTCTCCCAGTACTCACGTGGCCCTGGTGAAGATTTCGTTGAAGTATTTGTCGTAGAGATTCTTCAGAATACCCTTCCAGGGGTCAAACTTCTTCATGGTCCGGAAGCGGCCAAACTCAATGGGCAACAAACGAGCTCGTTCTGTGGAAAGTAACATACAGATGTTCATTGTACTGAATGGCAGGAACAGAGCAGATATCTTCAACGATGTACGGACTGGGCTGGGGGACAGTGCCGAATATCTGACACTAACATGTTTGCGTGACCCGGGAGTAAAGCATGGTGAAGCACATCTATGTAGCCTTCAAGGCTGAGTTGGGAGACATTTTAATAAATTTCTCATAGGAACAATTAGTGAGCACGCATTGGAATGAGCAATGTGCAGTGACGTCGATAGTGACAATATAACATGTAAAGTATGGTGTATACAGGCGGGAGGACAGATTTAACTACACTGGGCTTTATCCGATGGCTCTCAGTCATCCTCTACAGAACAGCTAGTCGCTCACGAAAGTGCCTCTAAAATCACGAACTACGTAACTACCAACAACCCTCACAGTTATAAGGAACCCGAGTCCGAAAGGAAACTCTCATCCTTCAGACTCTGGGGCAAAGTACTTAACTGCTTTGCCATAAAGACATCCAGCAGCTGTGGTTTTCAGAGTTGTGTAATCCTTCATGTACTGCGAGTGGCCGGTTGCCAGAGAATTGGTAGTGCATTATATGATCATTTGCAAGTTAACTTTCTGTTCGGTTACAAACGCTGTTTCATCAGCCATTAACTATACTTCTAGTGTTGGACTAGTATGTTGGCACTTGTGACTTTTGCCTTATACATTTAAAGCAAATGTGTGCTAATGGCTTCCCTGAGACTTCAGCCTGTGCCAGTTTTTCCACAATAGACAGTAATTGATTTTCTGTGTGGTTTTCATTAACAACTATGGGATGAAACGTTTTCTATGAAATTGGAACGTCTTCTTCTTCTTCTTCTTCTTCTTCTTTTTCTTCTTCTTCTTCTTCTTTTTCTTCTTCTTCTTCTTCTTCTTCTTCTTCTTCTTCTTCTTCTTCTTCTTCTTCTTCTTCTTCTTCTTCTTCTTCTTCTCCTCCTCCTTCTTCTTCTTCTTCTTCTTCTTCTTCTTCTTCTTCTTCTTCTTCTTCTTCTTCTTCTTCTTCGTCTTCTTCTTCTTCTACTTCTTCTTCTACTTCTTCTTCTTCTTCTTCTTCTTCTTCTCTTCTACCTCATCGAAATGTCTGGGGGAGATGTAACATTCCTTGATGAGCTCTGTCAAGAGTACTATTACGACTGATGTTCATTTGAGTAAGGCTGTTTTTAATGCCATTACTCCATCTATTCCGAGGTCTTCCACTCGCTCTACACCCGTTGTAACGTTTTAGCGTAGCTTGCTGTGGCAGATAGTACCAGGGCATTCTTGTTAGGTGTCCAAACTACTTCATTTGTTGTTCTTTGATGACCTGTAAGAATGATTTTATTCCTAGCATTCGTCTGATTTCGATTCTGCCTTTCCTTGAAACTTCTGTAGCTCTTCTAAGGCATTTCTTCTCTGTTGTCACAATTTTACCCTCATTGCAGGATCTTAGTGTCCACCTTTGGCACTGATAGCATAGTGTTGGCTATAAAATTGGAACTGCGATTACAAAAGGTAACTGGGTCTACTGAATGCTGCTATGAGTTATAGGTAGGAGGTAAGCTGTACCCCACCAGGACAACCCACCAGTGATAAACACCCGGTGGCACAAAGTGCCACCATGCGAATGCGGATCACCCGTGGAGAGGTCACAGAAACCCCTTTCAGCCGTTAGGCCATATCTATAAAACAATAACTACTTCACAAGAAAGAACATTTCCGTTTCCTTCGGTCCGAACAATTTGACAAGTCAGAAAACATAGAAAGGTTGATAACAGCGTCTGTGCTGCTTTTGATTAGGAAATAAACAATTACATGAATTATCTCCCTTCGATGACAAGCGTCATTAAAAAGGGATTTGTAAGCAATGTTGAATATAGTGTATATACTGTATGCATGATATTTTCATAGTTTATATATATATATATATATATATATATATATATATATATATATATATATATATATATATATATATATATATATATATTAATATATATATATATATATATATATATAGAGAGAAGAGAGAGAGAGAGAGAGAGAAGAGAGGAGAAAGAGGGGGGGGGGGGGAGAGAAACAGAAATATTGACAGAAACAGACAAAGACGGCGAGACACTGACAGACAGACAGACAGACAGAAAAACGAGATTGTCTCGGTGTGACGTGTGTGTGTGTGTGTGTGTCTGTGTATGTGTGGTGCAGGAAATTCAGGCAGCATTTGATGATTTTACAAAATCGCTAAATTAAACGCGTCAACAGAGATTTGTTTTTCGTCGACCAGCAAGCCGAGAGAGTTAGCGCTCGGTGGTCTGTGCCATTCTGTCTGTATCGAAAACTGTTCTTGTCAACTCGTCTCTAGTCGTTAGTGGAGGTTCTGGTATCACCACTATACCGACGGGTTGCCAGATAATTACTCCATTCTTGTGCCAATGGAAAATAACACAAAACGTTCTTCAACGGTATCATTTGGTAACTAAAAAAAAATATAAAAAAAAACTGTAAGTCCCAGCAAAAGCCTCAAGCTTGCACACGCAAAGCACAAATAACATAAGGCATCTGTCAGATGTGCCAACAGTAACGGTGCCACGATACCTGACAAGGTTGGCCACCACTGCTACACAGATTTTCTGTTTGTTTAGTTACGTTTAGAACTCGGAAACTTTCATATAAGTGCTTCGTCCTCATCTTCAGCAACCAGCGCGGAGTTCCAACTCCGATGGTACCATTAGCAGTCTGAATGTAGGTTGGCCTCGCATTTTCCTTGATTGTTAATGGCCACATCCTTTGGTCACTCCCAGCTGCACCACTCTGTTCAGATCGCGATATTCTGTTTGTGCTTCTGCGCTGATCATTGGCCCCACCAAACCCTCACAACAACCTAGCTTCGAATATAATAATTTCACCACTAGTTGGTTCAGCACCAGCCAATCTATCTGCTTTGTGTTTTCCATGACGGCAACAGACTCCAAACCGCCAACACCCCCCCCCCCTTTTTTTTTTTTTTTTGCACTGAGAAAGCAGCAATGCGGGTGGCCAGGAAAAGTTCAAATCTGGACAGGACAGACCAACCATAAATATTGGTTTCAATGTGATCGTTCGATCAATCGGAATATCTCCTCTGGGTTGCTACCTAAGCATCTACCATACAATTATGAGATTAAAGAGTCTCAATTTGGACGGCAGGCCAACTAGGTAGATCTCGGATAGCCCTTTCAACTTTGAAAGAAGTTTAATTAGAGTACCTGTGACGGTTACTCCAGCTAGGTGTGACCTGAAGTCCTATGCCAGACATCAACATTTGGCCAGAAGCCTTAATATATTCACGAATTTTCTAGAAGCTCCAGTATCGTATCCAACAATGTAGCCGATTTCTTAGAGATTGTGGAGGCTAGGCAAACGGACAGACAGGCAGACAGACAGGTAGACAGGAGAGTGGTGGGTAGATGGGGAAGGAGGGCGGGAAAAGAGAATACTTGATATATAGAGGGAAACAACATAAAAACATAGACAGAATGGAAAGGACAAACTGATAGATAGATCGGTTAGTGTGTGGATGGGTGGATGGATGGATGAATGCAGGGATGCATAGATGGAACGGTGGGTGGATAGGTACGAGGGTGAGCTAACAAATGGATGGATGGCTCGGTAGATGGACGAATAGATGGGTCAATGGATCGATGCATAAGGAGGTGAAAGAATGAATGTATGGATGAGTGGGTAGACAGTGGATGGATGAGTCGGTATATGGATGGATCGATAGACTGATGAATGGGTGGATGGATAGACAGGTGTGTGGATAGACAGATCGATGTGTAGGTGTACAGGTTGACGGATGGGTATTTGGTTGGATTGATAGTCAGATGGATAGACAGTTAGTTAGAAAGCTGGATGGATGGATGGATGGATGGATGGATGGATGGATGGATGGATGGATGGATGGATGGATGGATGGATGGATGGATGGATGGATGAGTCGGTGACAGGATGAATAGTTCGATCGACAAGAGGACGAAAAGACAGACAGAACGTGGTCAAACAATACACAAAATCAAATAATTCCCACAGAAACACACACACACCCACACACAAGACAACAAACCACAGTCACACAAACAAGACCAGAAACCCCGCAGACATCGACCTACACAAACATGGCGCTAACGTTTACAGAACACGTACAGCAACCGACAGCTGCAGCTCCGGAACAAAGACCTCATTCAGACACTTCCAGCAGCCGTCGCTCCGCCCGCAGCCTTCCTCCAGCCCTGAGCAGACAGTGACGACTCTGGGATGAAGTATATGTAACCCCAGGAGATAGAAATAAGATCAACATTTATACAAGTTTGTTGCCCGGCGCGCTAGGGAAGTTGGTTAAACCAGCCTCGCGGCGACCAGTTGAGAAACTCCTTGTAGTCCGAGTTAACGCTCGGGTGTAGGCAGAAAAACCATATATTTCCCAGATTTAGGGTATCGATCATGGAATCAAGGCAGAAGGGTTGCGATATCCATAGTACCTAGCCAAAGGGTTTATAACTCATGGATTCTGGATCCAAAATAAAAAAAATAAAAAAAAACAAATACAACTTTGTGGTTATTCTGCTGTGAACGGCTGCTCTACTAAACAGTATGGACATCAATGCACATTAATTAATCAATGCACTCGGGACGTTTCCAGACGTGCTCCATCTCCTTCCTCCGGAGCCAATGAAGAATCGACATGCTAATAGTAGCCTGAAATTTCCTCCTGCCATATGTTTAATCAGCGTCCTCAGTGGCTCTTGAACTACTGCCACATCTTTGGATCCTCCTAGCTCTCTCTTTTAGATCTTTTTTAAGGCAGCTACCACCCCTTGGACTGTCCCAGCCAGGGCTGCCAACGAGATTTTTTTTTGAAAAACCCAGCTTCGCGAAACAAAAACCCAAGCAATACATAGACACACACACACACACAAAACCCAGATTGTTAAAATGTACACATTTTTTTTTCGAAAC